ACAGGAGGGGGGAACCCCCAGAATAACCGAGCAGGGATTGCGCCCCCAGCCCAGGTGCAAACATCAACCTCAGGGTGGGGTCCGAAGCGGAAGCCCTGTGGGAAGACTCTCCAACACCAGATTTACACAAGTGGCGTTTCGCGGGACAACCGGCTTTTTAATACGTTTCACCTTTCTCCTTCCCTGCCTGGGCTCCCTCCCCCAGCCTTCCTGCAGAGTTCATCCTTTTCCGCACTTGGGCGTTCTCTCCTTTCCTAGAACATAGCCTCGGGCTCCAGCCAAGGCCACCAAGGAAAAAAACGGCCGCAGGGACTTGCTTCCTGGAGGTGCGGGACCCCGAGAGACGCAAACCCCTCGGCTGAGGGTAGTCCCGGCAACCGGTAGCTGTGGGAGGTGCCAGTGGCTTCCCTGGGCTGTGCCACCACTGTGCCACCGCTTGATATTGAGTGGCTTGTAGCTGGTAAATCTATCTTGCTCCTTGCCCTCCCCTTTTAATTTTGTGGTCTTGTTCTCGATTTCTTACTTGATGTGAAAGTTACCTAGTCATGGGCTTTTCCCCCAAAGTCTTCCATCCTACCCCAGCAAGCTGGAATGAGAATCCTCCCAACTAGATTACAATTGAATCTCCTTTCTCCTTTTCTCTCCTTCTCTCTCCTGTGCCTACCCCACCCCCTGTCTTTCCCTGTAGAGAAAAGGCCTGTATTTTGAATTCAACACCCTTGCCCAATTGCTGCAGCATGATACCAAGATACCGCCTGGAATCCTTCTCACACTTCCTTATATTGAAAAAGCAATGTGAAAACAAAAACCCAAGTACCCAGGACATTTGGCTGATTGGAAGAAGAGGGGGACCCTTTCAGGTGACTCTGGCTGAGCTGAAGGAGGTTCTGATGCAGACCTCTTTTTATTTACCACTCACAGGTCTGCTGGCAGCAGCCAGAGGGAAGTGGCCACTGGGCTAGGGCCCAGGTCCCAGGGCAGACTTTTCACCCAACATTCCTGCCTGGAAGAGCACCTCCTGTTCCTGCCCAGGTCTCAGGTCACCCTGATGGATAGGAACTAGTGACTCCTTCAAATAAAGTTAGAGGCCATTCTGATAATTTAGTTTACTTCTGAATATTTTAAATATTATGAAAACAAGTATAACAGCATTCTTTTCAAAACTCCTTTGAGGTATCAACCATTAAAAGATTAGGGTTTTGTAAAAAAAAACACACACAGTGGTTTATTGAATACTTACAACGTTTACATCTTCAATATTAATTAAATTCCACTTAAGTTTTAGAGGACGGAAGTGCACAAAACAAGTAGCTGTTGGAAACGTCTTCGAAGAAGGAACACTCACAGATGAAGGGACAGCACTAGCTACTGACCCCAATGGAAATGTTAGCGGCCCTGCTTTCTGCTTTAAAATAAAACTTTATAATCCCCAGGAATATTTATATCCAAAGGCCAAATATTAAAGATACACTTCACATAGGCACTAGTGTTTGCTGTCTTTATCTGGAAGGGCTTGGGTGGGTGGGAAAGGGGTAACGCTGGTGTCTACACAGCCAAAAGGAAACATTCACACACACAGAATATACTGGACGATGGGATCCCTTACCAGGCACGCATGTCCTCTTTATGTTAAAATATGGAATGCTTTTCTTCAAATATTCACTTTTTTTTTGAAAGGGAGGCTGGGAGCAGATGCTTCAAAGGAGGTGGGGGGTGGGAATGAAAGGAGGGGGAAGGAAATTGCACATAAATAAACCGGATGATTCCAAATGCGAGGAGTCCTCAGAGCGGAGGGAGTGCCGAAGGCTGGCCCGGAGTCCTGGGTCTGTGTCTGGCACCCTGGCTCCGACTCACTCACTCTCTCCGCCACCTCCTCTTCCTCCTCACTGCTTGAGTTCCAGGGCCCAGACATGCTGCGGCCAGCCCGTCCGCCCTTTGGTTTTCTTGTCGTTGCTGCTCACTGTGCTTTTCAAGATTTCATTCTGGGCAGGGAGGAGGCGAGGGTGAGAAGAGTGGAAAGAGAAATTCAGAGAGGATACCTGCTCCCAAGTCACCCTAGTACTTCCTGGGCTGTAAAGAGGAAAGTCTCAGAGACTCAGAGACTGGTGGGTGGGGTGGGTGGATGTTTCTCCTTTAGCAGTCCCTGCAGAAAATCTAGGAAGGGCTATGCTGCCCTGGCTTCCACGGAGGCCTCTCTGCCGAAAGGCTCAACTACCGGATGGGCAAGTTTATAAACAACCGACCGTTTTCCAGTCGTTTATGGAGGAGCTGGGGGCCTTGTTTCTAACTCCAGATGTAGAGGTGTGGGGGGGGGGGAATGTCGGCTCTAAATCTGGCTTCTCTGTTTTCAATAGCAATCCCAGATCCATGTGGTAGGAAAAATGGGGTGCAGGCAGGCCTGGAAGCTCTGGCCTGGGCCTCAGCCTCCGGCCCAGTACTGACTCTCCTGTAATACCTGGGAAATCTCCCGTTATTTTCAAGGTCACCAACTGGTGACCAAGGACCCTAGGCCCCCAAGAACTCAGCAAATGGAATGATACCTCAGGCCTTTTGTGGAGGTAGCACTGTCCGGAGTGCCACAGCCTTCTGGGTACTTGTAGGACTCCTAACCAGCCGGCATGCAGTTGAATCTTACTAACAATAGCCACTGTCCCATGAATATTATTGCTTTAAAAATGTGCAGGCTCATTTAACTAAAACCGGAAATATCCATGGAACATTTTAGTATGGTAAACTGCATTTTTACGTCACAGCCAAAGAAACACTGGAATTGTATTTTGAGGCTAAAAGTGCTTCTTTTCTATGTACCTTTACACCTCCGGTCACAGCTGTAAGAAGGAGCAGAAAGTTCTTTTAGAGCTCGGAATCTGCGGCAGCCTCAGCAGCCTCGTTTTGCAACCAGCTCCACAATGAAATAATCCGAATGCAGAACTTTGAGTTACTTTAGAAAGCAAGACTGATCGGGAGGGCAAGTAAAGGCTCCAACGGATATGGAATCAGGGTTTGGGGCCCGACGTGGCCCAGAGCAGGGATGGGGACCAGCAAGGCTTGGACCCTAGTGCCCGGTGGAGCAGCGATCACCCGGGTTGGGGAGTGGGAAAATCCTGGATCCCTGGTGCAGAAGCATCTCCTAAGATCTCCTTCTGCAGACGCCCTCCCCCATCTCCTCGAGTAAGGCAGGAAGCCAACCCTACCACAACCTGGTGCAAACGATCTTGGCGCGGGACGCAGCCAAAGAATACTGGATGCGCCTCCTCAGCCCGGCTGAAAGCCGGCGGGGGAGCACCCATCCTCTGAAAACCTCTAACCACCCGCTTGCCCCCCACACCCCCCCAGCCCCAGGTACTAACCAGCTCCTTCTTCCTCTTCTCCTCTTTCACGTCTGTCTTCTTGATCTCCGCCTTGAAGGCCTCCGCCTCGCCGTTCTGGTCGTCCTTGGCCAGCAGGTCCATGAGGTAGGCGATATAGCTGGTGGCCAGGCGCAGCGTCTTGATCTTGGAGAGCTTGGTGTCGGCGGGAACGTTGGGAATGCACTCCCGCAGCTCGGCGAAGGCGCTGTTGATGCTCTGAGTCCTGCGCCTCTCCTTGCGGTTGGCGGTGCCCCGGCGCTTCACCGGGCGCGGCCCCCCCAGGCCCGGGGGCCCGGCGCCCGGCGGCACCCCCCCGTAATGGGAGTGGTCCAGGCCGGCGGCGCCGCTGGCATACTCGGGGCTGTAGGATAGGGCCATGCTGTAGTCGGGGGGCGACATCTCGGGGTGGCCGATAAGCCAGCCGTGAAAGTAGGGGTTCTCCTCGTGGCCGCAGCGGCTGGCGGCGGCGGCGGCGGCGGCGGCGGCAGCGGCGGCAAACGGATAACCCTCATGGTGCACCACCGGGTGGTGGGGGAAGCCCCCCACCAGACTCATTTCGCCCTCCGCGCCCCTCCACGCGCCCCAGCGTGCGCGCAGCCCCGCCGCGCCCTCCACCCGGGCCTCGGCTTCCGCGCTCCGCGTCCTCCCCCACCCCCCACCCCCCAATCCCCGGGCGCCCGGGCCGGCTCGGCAGCCGCAGAGGGGGCTGCTGCAGCCCGGGCCCCGGGCCCCCTCCTGGCCAGCCGGGCCTGCCTCAGCAGCGCTGCGGCTGCCGGCTCCCCATGGGGCGCGGCGAGCTGGTCCCGGCACGGTGCGCCCTGGGCTGCCGCCTTCGCCGCCGGCGCCGCCGGTTCCCGCCTAGCTCCAAGGCCCGCGCGTCGGCTCCTGCTTCCCCGTTTGCTGCGCCGAGGCAGGATCCTCTGGTGCTCATGCAAAGGTGCCTCGGCTCCCGAGAGGTGGCTTCGCGGGAGTCCCAGGACTCCACGCCGGGATGCGCCGCTGGCCGCCGAACCTAGCCCGGAATCCACCGACGAGTCCGAGGCGCGGCTGGAGCAGCCAGCCCGGCTCTGCGGGGCGGCGGAGGCGGCAGCGGCGGCGGGGTCGACTGCTCTCTGCAAAGCTACCTCCGTGCGACCCTCCCCTTCCCGCCTCTTCCCCTCCCCCCACAGCCCGATCTGGGTTCTTGGGCGCTTATTGTTTTAATGGAATTTTTTTTTTTGGTTGTTGTTTTGGTCCTTGAATGTGATTTTGGCTGCGAGTAACGTGTCCACGCTCCTCCCGGGCTCTCTCGATGGGTTTTCAGAGAGGTCTCAGCGCATCCATTTTCTCAGATCCTCTCCTTTGGGGGGGCAGGGGCCTGGGGCCCTAAAGGCAGCTCGGCGTCCGCGGCTCGGGCTCTCGGAGCGGGTCTGTGCGGTGGCCGACGGAGCTCCCGGGTGTCGGCGGCGGCTTTGCTGGGCTGGACGCAGGAGCAGGCGGATTTTCCTAGCAAGATCTCCATGTACAGCTACATCTTTAGGGCCGCTCGGGTTAATATATGTCGTCAGAGGCTCCTCACGCCAATCCCGGGGCGGCGGGGGCGGCGCTTCGCGCTCTCCGCAATAAAACTTTTTGATGTTCACGTCGCTAATTGCCGAGGTCCTCTTCCAGGATTGGCTGCTCCCTCATAACCATAAGATAATTAAAACGAAGGGGGGGCGGGTTAAAAAAACTTTTTTATCAGCCAGAGGTTAATGCAAGTGTTTAACAGATGCTTCACTATTAAAATATTTATCCCCCCCTCCCCGTCTCAAATATTGAAGAATCTCAAACCAGGTACAGTATCTCCTCTTTTCTTTTCTAGTTAAAAACCAAAAACAAAAACAAACAAAAAAACCCAGCAGAGGGTCCTTTTGGAAGTGGTTTGTAGGTAAGAGGAGCGATAAGGGGAGAGCAGCGGCCTCTTGCCTTTCGGTGTTGGGGGGCCGGGGCCGAGGGGCGAGTGGCGCGGGCTTCTGCACGGTCTCCTTCCCCGGCGCTCAGCGGACGCTGGCCCCGGGCGCTTCTTCCACCTGGCACCGGCTTGGAAACGCCCGCCTCCCTGACGAGCTGTTTCCTTACCCACCATGCTTTCCCCCACCCCCCTCCAGAGCTGGGTGGGTTTTTAGCAGGGGGTATGTGTGGGCGGGGGCTCCTGTTAGCGGTGGCCACGGTGGGAGCTCTCGCAGGAGACCCCCAGGCGGCCAGTCCAGTCGGGCAGCAACACTGTCCTTCCGCCGCTCTTCAGGGCAGCAGCCTGCCGCGCAGACCTCGGGCAGATTCGAAGTGTGGGCACCTGGGTTCCCCGAATCTGTGGTGTGGGCGGTATCGGTGTGCCCCCCGGTTTAACTAGCCTGTTTGGTAAGTAACTGAATATTTTTTACAGCGTGTTCCGAGCGTATTTTCCCGTTTTTATGAACAAACATATAAATACATCTCTGCATTCTTGCCTCGCCCATAAAAGCGGGCATCTGTGGAAAGCAGGTTTAGTGATCGGAGGGGAACCATTAAACACCCGTTTAAGAGGCAGGCCGGGAGGACGGCTCGTGGATGTTTAGACTGCCGGCCCCCGGTGATCTTGAAAGCATTAGGACGGAAAAGGCATCTCCACTTGTGTAAGTCACCGGGCCGCGGGGCACCCGGGGCCGCGGCGCCCGCGTAGCTTGCGCGTCTGGGGAGTTGGGGGGCACCATGGGGCAAGGAGAGTCGCCGGCCAGCGCTGAAATCGCCCTCCACCCCGAGGCTTGGCCAGGAGCAGAGAGGCTGGTGTGTCCGCAATGATCCCTCTGTGCAGGTTTCAATGTGGAAAGGGGGTCTCCCTGAGGGCCCGGGCCCTAAGCTGGAGGGAGGTGAGGAATTGGGGTGCAGAGGAGAGTAAAGGCAGAGGCAACTTGGGACTGGCCGCTGGGCCGGGCTAGGGTAGCTAGAGGGTGACCCAAGACTCCACCTGAGACGTCGCTGGAAGGAGGCAGGCAGTCAGCCGCAGGCCGCAGAAGCAGCCTCAGCTACCGAGGCGGCCCCGTGTGTGCCGGCCGGTTGCTCGCCGCCGATGGTGTGGTTCGGACTGGAAAACGAGATCAGAGTGCCCGGAGGACTTCCAGCTTCGGGGTTGCTCGAGCCCCGGAAAGAACTTGGGATTTCCGTCGGCTGGGCTTTAGGAGAAGGGAAGGAACTCAAAAGAGGGAGGTAAAAGCCCAGCCCGGGAGCCCTTGCCGGGCCCGTTTTTCCTCTGGGCTGGGGACGGGTTTCCTGGCATGTTCCAGCAGAACGTCTTACGGGCAGAGAGCAAGGGTTGCGGAAGGGATGAAACCAAGCTCCGAGGGTAGCGCCTGGGGCTTGCGTTTGGGCTCAGAATAAAATAGCGACCTGCTCACAGCTCTGAGTCTCTGGGTTGGGAGAGTCAAAGACGCGGTTCTTCCAGGAAAGAATACAGGTAGTGTGATGGGGATGGGGGGGAGGTGGAGGTGGAGATACTGTTTACATTTTCCCTGGGAAGCAAACCTTGCATGTGTAAATACTGGTAGCTCGAGCCTCTGAAATGTGATACATTTTTAAAAGTCTGTTTATAAAAACTCGTTTAGGCCTTGGTAGCAGGTAGAAGTAAGATGGTTGCATCAGGGACAGTGGTTGATTGACGTTTCAGATCCAGAGTTTCGGGGCTCCATGGGAGGGAGAAGAATTCTGAAGAGGGTTGGGTCGGGGACTGGGATGCCCTGTCCACCAGAGATGAGTAGCCTCCATTGAAAAAGCTTCAGAACTGGCCACTGCGAACCTTTCTCATGCCCTTGTAACTGAAGCAAACAAGCCAAAAAAAGGTGGTGGTGGGGGATGTGAGTCACTACATGGCTCCAGATGGCATCACAAACGATAAAAGAAGCGGACAACATGGGATAGCTAAAGTCATAAAAGATCTAATCTGAACATCAGTTCTCACTGACAGCATCATTATCAGTTAATTACCACAGTCCAAGGGTCTAGGGCCTCGTCGTGTATCTCAGGGACCCAAACCAGGGGCTCTGGTCATAGAAAGGCAGGCCAGCGGTAGGTGGCTTAGGAAGAGGGGACAAACGGCAAACATTAGGGGGATGTTCACAAATGTGGTAACTGCCTGGTGGAGAACTGGCCTTGAAAGACTCATTTCTTTGCGTGCATCCATCATGCTTTCCCTTTTCTTGTCTCTGAGCTTGTTGTGTTCCAGTTCTCCCAGGATGTCTGGTTTTGAAAAGCTGGTGAGGCCAGCTTGCAGTTTCCAATCTACCCTCAGTTTAGGTGGTCTGTTGAGGGTGGAAGAGAGAGAGGTGATGGAGCAGAGCTGGGTGCTAATGATGAGGAACAAAGAGTAAGGAGAAAGGGTGAAAAGGATAGTCTGGAAAACCCATCCTTGTGCTGTGTCAGAGTGGCTTCAGGGTGCTGCTTGCCAATCAGGCTCCTGGTTGGGATACTCATTGGCCTAGGGAGCTGAGATGCTGGCCGAGGACAGGACTGGCTTGAGACTGAAGGCTTGGGGACAGAGCTGCCACAGCCCTCAGTCCCCGGATCCAGAGACTGCTTCCCAGGGAGGTAGCCTGGGTTTGGCAGGATTCTGGTGTGCACAGTCTTCCGTCCTGGTGGTTGATGGTGTTCATCACTGAGCTGCACATTCTGTCTGCCTGCACACACACAGAACCCAATTCAAGCAGCATTTTGCATCCATGCCTCTTGTCTCCTTCCGTCACTCTTACTGCTGCCCCTGGACAAGATTCAAAGAACCTGAGGAGAGACTGAGCACTCCCTTGGAAACACTTTGGTCTTCTAAGATATACTTTTAAAATCAATCTGGTTTAAACTAAATATTTTTTTAAACTTCAATCTGGTTTAGGGAAAATTCAGATCTTTGGCGGTATTTGTTATTTCAAACGCAAGGGCGGTTTTGAATCTTGTGTTTTGCTCATGAGAACTCAAAATAAACTGGACCTGGGAGGAACTAGGCCAGAGGCCATAAACACACATTTTCTATTTACAGGAATTAGGGTTTACTTCCCTTCATCATCTTTGAATCTCATTTTACCTTATTTTCCTAACCCTGTAGAAATAATGCAGAGTGTTCCCTTCAGCTACTACCATGCACTTAGGTGAGACACAGAACACACTAGAAAACTCCAGAAAGAACATCAAACCTGGAAAGTGACACATAAAGCAATGTGCTCCTGAAGATACTTGTAATCTCAGCCCTGCCTATTCTGAGGACAGCAAATTTTTGTTACACTTTGATGGCTCTGTCCTAGGCTGAGAAATTCATCTTACAAGCTAACCACTTGGTCTAGGATGTATAGGACTTGCAGAACACTGAGTGATGAAAGGTTTTTTTTTTTTTTTTTTTTTTTTTTTTTTTTTTTTTTTTTTTTCCCTCTCTCAAGGGCTTTACGGTTACTCTCTTTCTTGTTTTCTTTTTGGGAAATCGTTGTATGCAGATCGGACAAGTGACAATGGCTCTGGAAATGTGGTGGTGCTCACAGTGCCCATCCACAAGGCAGACTTAAGTTTGGTTGGACTTTCATGTCTGTTTCAAAAATGAGGGGCAGGGAAAGCTGCCCTACACTTTCATGTGGTTTTATTTCTTTTGAACAATTCCTCTTTAGATTTTGCAGTTGGGGGCAGGGTCTTTAGGGAAGGGACCCTCTTCCTTCCTTTTTCTCATCCACTGCAAATCTGGAGCTGGAATGGGGAGGGACTGATTGGGAATTAGTTAAGTCTGGAAGTGAATATTCACAAGGATTTGGAAATGTAAAGGATCAGTGCAGAAAAATCAGGACTTGCTGGATGTCTGTCCTTTCTCTCTTGGCCCCCACTAGCCTTGCTCACTCTCTCTCACCTCCCTCCTTCCCACGCCTCCCCTTCTTTGTAATTTGCCCTTCAGCAAGGTTAGGATCTACAAGGATTTTTTTTTTTCCTGTCATGGAACCTGAGACTGGTATGGAAAAAATGAAATGTCAATCCATCCTCAAATGATTTAAGAAAAAAAATCTTAATGTTCAGTATTATAAGCTGTAGACCTTTCATTTCCTACAAACCACCAATGTCCGCATCCTCACATTAAGAGATGGAGATCATACTGTTGTGGAGCACTTTTCCTGATAAGGGAGAACAAAATACTCTGCCAGGTATTCAGGTCGGTTTGAAAAGCTACAATATCTGTTCAGACTAAAGGAAGCTCAAGGCACTGTTGTGGAGTAGCCTTGTTGGATGCACCATGACCCAGGCATATAAGTCTGATTTTGGCTAACTTGCAGTAAAATACAGAGTTAAAACAGAAGTGGCCTAAGACATAGTGTATCACACAGCATGCATGGTAAATATTCGTCCATGTTTTGCTTCAAACAAGCTACTTGCACAAAGCAATATTTTCTTCCAAGCCGGGAGGAACATACTCAATATTCAGATGAGGACATCTTTGGGATTTCAGATATATGCTCAGGGGGAGGAAATAGAGAGGAATGGACTCCAACTAGGCTGCAGCATTAATCTGATGTCTTGAATAAAATATGAGTGTAAATAGTAAGCTAACCAATGGGTCTTTGGGGTTGGCTGCTTATGTGGCTAAAAATTTGCTTATGACTTGAGATTGGTGCATTCCCAGGTCTAAGTGGCATGTTGTCACATTCCTGGGAAGCCCTGCTCCGTGGTTTCCTTTACAAATTCATGGAGGTAGATGTATTGCTTGAACACTGACAGTTTCTCCAAGTCTTTCCTACATTCTTCTAGGGCCTTTTCTTAGAGACAAGGGACTTGAGCCAGGATGCTTAAGGTTTCAGGTTAACAAAAAGAAACACTTTTATTGTCAATATGAATGGCAAACTTTGATTTTTACAAGACTTGGGTTTAGTGGCATGCGCAGATCAAAAGCAGCTCGGCTTGATTTCTCCATATTCTCTGGAGCTTAGACAATTAACTGCAATTTGGCTGCTAACGAAACAACACCAAGAAACTAGTTACAGAAATGTTGAAGTTTATCTTTCAGCAGAGATAGGAACCTGTGTACAGCATATCAGAATCTAATAAAGCTAGGCACTAAACTTGAGTTTTAAAAGGAAACTCCTGAAGAGAGGGTTATGTGCAGAGTGTCCTCATTTGCAATGGCATGATCTGTTTCTGTGTGTGCATTCCACCCTCGCCTCTGGCTGGCGGGGTAAGGATCCGGCAGACTGAGGTCTCCCTGGTAATTTGGGTACACCGAGTCTCCAGTTAATGATAGATAATCAGTCTTTGGGTCATTCGGTCATTCTCTTATTACAAACCCCTCCTGCTCTCTCTGATCTCCTTTCAAACTAAATTTCACACAAACAAATAAAGCAAGACAGGGACAAGTTCTTTAAAAAAAAAAA